AATGGAAAAGAAAATGGAAAATGAAATGGAAGCTATATAGGGTTTAGGGCCCTCTAATGGAGAATCAAATGGAAAAGAAAATGGAAAATGAAATGGAAACCCTAGGTCCCAGTAAAGGGGTATATAGGGATATTATACCCCTATAATGGAGAATCAAATGGAAAAAGAAAATGGAAATGAAATGGAAACTAGGGTTTATATAGGGGATATATATAATAATAATATAGGGATAATGGAAAAGCAAATGAACTATTATTTAGGGTTTAGGGATTTAGTGTTCCCGGGTTTAGGGTATAGGGTTTCATGGTTTAGGGTTTCGTGTATAGGGTTTAGGGATTCAGGGTTTAGGGTACAGGGTTCAGGATTTGGGGTTTAGGCTTCAGGGTTTAGGGTTCAAGCACTCAAAAGCATCAGGAAAAGGACAGGGTTTGGGGTTGAGGGTTGATGCAGGGGATATATAGCGGGCTCTGGAGATGTACTGTGGAATAATGGAGAAGCAAATGGCGTACTAAAATGGATGTAACCTTTAGGGTTCAGGGGTTTGACTTTTAGCGCTTCAGCATTTTGGGTGTGTAAAGCGTAAGGCGTGAGTGCTTGGGGTTTCGGGTTGCTGTATGGAGTCTGGGTTTGCGCTGCAAGGATTGAATCCTGAAAAATGCACACAAACCCCACCTGGACCTTAAAACTAGGCAGAAGCTATGAACAATAGCGACCAAAGAAGCTATCCTTCCACATGGGCTATTGTCTAACCTCCTAGTATCCCCTGAATAGCCCCTATAATAGTCCCCTATATAATTCCTTATTATATAACCCCCCCTCTGGGGAGTTTAGATTAACCCTAAACCAATAGTTTACATGTTTATTTTCTTTTCCATTATACCCATATATATAGTCTAAGGTCCAAGCTAAGTCCCAAGGAGTATGTATAACTCCTTATGTTGGGGTTCAATCATTAGGTTTAGAGGACTCATGCCCCCAGATCGTGGACCGTAAACCCTAAACCGTGAGGGTTAGTATCCGAGAGCTCAGATAATTATATGCGGGCTTCTTTAAAACTGAGGGAATGCAGGGATGACAAGAGTCTTAAGAATCTAGGGGTTTAGGGGTTTAAGATTTATGGTCCAGGGTTTTGGTTTTTTTCAGGATCTCAGTTTAGGGCTGAGGATTCAGGATTCAAGGCTCAGGACTTAAGTCAAAGTCTTGTGATCCGAGGGCCACAGCGTCGCTTCGTCGATCTTCGGGTATTGGTACCAAGGAGCTGCGCACGTGGCACACGTGCCATCTGGAAGGTGCGGATAGCATTTGAGCTACAGTCAATATTTCCTTATGCGGTCAATGGACATACGCCCTTATTAGGGAGTATGTTGAGAACTATTTAAAACTACCAAAACGACCCTGATGTCCACCCTTAATGGCCCCTTGGTAACGCTAAACCCGAAACCCTAATCCGTAGCCTGTTTCCCCAAACCCTAAACCCAAAGGGCTTAAACCTAAACCCTCAAATCTTGGAAACCCTTAAATTGACAGTAAGTCATGTGACGATGCTTCCCCGTGATCTCTGCATGCCTTTGGCGATGCATCCTCCTGTGCTCCCTTATAATATGTAGGGCTTAGGGCTTTCAGTTTGCAGGTTTGAGGGTTCGAGGATTTAGGGTTGTAGAGTTTAGGATTTAGGGTTTGAGGATTTTAGGTTTAGCTCTGTCCACCAGGGACATCTCTTCGTTGTAAGCTTCTACAATCTAACGGTCATAAAGCCATGACCGTCAATTGACGTCAGGTTGTCAGAAGTCAGGATTTACTCTCTTCCCCAATAACCAGGGCTAAAAAAAGTTTGAACTGTATTATAGAGACCCAAAAACGAAGCCCAAAAAGTTAAAAGTTCTTCTATTGGCTAAGTAAGTTTAGGTTTAGGGGAGCCATAAGGTGCTTCGCTGTCCCGCATTCGTCGTTTGGAGGAGAAGGATCCCTGCCAAGAAGTATACAATTCTCCACTATTCCCTAAACCCAAAGAAGTAGTATCCATTTCATTTTCCATCTGCTTCTGTGCTTCTTGAGAAGCTCCCACGTAATTAGTTGCCTCAAATCTTCTGCCCTGAGTTCCTATCATCAGAAGACTCTGCACCCTCAAACCCTACCCCCCAACCCCTGAATCCCTGATCTCCTCCAACAAGCTGTCTTCGCATGAAGAGGGCCACGCAGCCCCTATGATCCCAGTATCCACATTGTTTCCAATTGATTTTCCCATGCGCCTCTCCGGCGTTCTACGCGTTGAAAAACCTAATTCCTCAACCCTAAATCCTCAACTCTGAACCCTAGCCTCTGATCCCCTAAACCCTAAACCCTTAAACCCTTAAACCCTTAAACCCTAAACCCTAAACCCTAAACCCCTACCTCTACCTCTCGACATGACACTAGTTGACCCCTGTAACTTCGGTGAAATACTCATGCAACCCTACATCATAAAGCATACACTCCCCCAAATTAACATGGAAACCCATATAGCCCCCTTTTAGAAGGCCTGTAGTCTTTATAGTGCCCTTTTTGGGTTTCCATGTTAGTTTCCGGGAGTGTATCCCCATGTTCCCATATGATTTGTCCATCTTCTGTTCCATTTGATTCCTCACTATCCCCTAACCCTGAACAATGGTAACCATGTCAATTTCCATGCGCTGTTCCATTTGACTCTTCATTATCCCTATACTAACCCTTACACAACCACTTCGGAATGACGCTATATACCCATATACTCCATATGACCCCAAGCCCTAAATCGTGAACTGTGTGGGTTGAAGGGAGTTCTGCGAAAGGCCTGGCTCCACGACCTCTGTGCGTGGCAGTGCAGATCGCGGCGGGCATCGCTTTCCGTGGAGCGCGCCTGTTTCGGGCTTTGGGATTAGGACTAACAAGGATTTAAGGCTTGGGGATGAGGATTAGGTTTAGGGACTGGGGTTTAGAGATTGGGCTTCGGGTTTAGGGATCAAGGTGTAGGGTTAGGGATCAGGGCTCAGGGTTGGGCGTCGGTTTGGTAGATTTAGGGTTTAGAGACTAGGGTGTAGGTTTGGAAGTGTGGGGATACGGTAGTTGGTCAAAATACTTGTCCCCACAATGGCCATTATGCTGATTGTTTTCCCCACCTTTTCCCTTGCGGACCTACAGGAACCAGAAAAAAGTCCCCCAAAGATCTTTATATTAACCCCTGCATGAACCCTAAAACCTCACGCCCATATGTACCATTCTCTAAACTCCTAGTATCCCCCTTAATAGCCCCTATAGTAGTCCCCTATATAACCCCCTTTAAGGAGTTTAGACTATAGCTCATATTACCCTAAAACCCTAAGCGAATAGTTTCCATTTTCTTTTCCATTATACTCATATAGCCCTATAACATGGCCCCTATAAAACCCCATTAAACCTGAGATAATCCCCATAGGATTTGGTGAGCCCATATGACCGTAATCCCTCTAAACTACAATCCCAGTTTCCATATCATTTTCCATTTTCTTTTCCATTTGATTCTCCATTATTGGGGCTCATACAACCCATGGATTTGGTGAGTAAGTCTTGCAGCACGCTGTTTAGGGTTTAGGGTTTGGGGTTTAAACCCTATACCCTAAACCCTAAACCCCTAAACCCTAAACCCTAAACCCTAAACCCTATACCCTAAACCCTAAACCCTGGAGCCAAGGCGGGCTCGTGGGCGGGGTGTTGACACGTCGCGTCGGAGGGCTTAAGCAGGAGCTACATAGGGGTGGTTGTCAAAATCATGGTCCCTCTTTGGGTCCCTAGTATAATACGGCACCTACTATTTAGGGTACCCAAAAAGGGACCACCCACATGGGGATCTAGAGGGTGAAGGGTTTAGCGGTGTGGTTTAGGGATTATGGACCAGGGTTTACACACACTTGTACAAGCCGATCTGACGGAAAGAACACATTTGGATGTCCACTAAAGGCCTTCTTAGCCCCCAAACTGAAAATTTGGATGCTTGTGAAAACTGCTTTGACACTTGTAGGAACACGTGTGATGCTTGCGTAATGCCTCACATGCACTGATGGTTGTGTTGCACTCATCCACACATGCACTGATGCCATGACCAGGCTGCACAGCACTCATGCACTGATTGCTCCGCCAAATGCTGATGCTGCTTGTGGAAAGCTGTGCGCTCAAATCTTACCATCAAGGGCAATTTTTCTAATCTGGCTAGCACTGGGGCCTAGCCTGCTGCAGCTACAAAAGAATGATCAACCCTCTCTTCCCATGTCACTGGTGACTTCTTTGACACAGTCCCGGTGACATGCGGGGAGTGACCCCCTGGTTGCATGAACTACGTGCGAAAGTTAAAATACACACGCACACACACAAAATCAATCAGCTTCTTCAAGAGACCTAGTGTGCTTGCCTAGATTGCAATACCACATGCCCATAGACTAAGCTGCTCACAAGACCCTTGCAACTGGCAGGGCTGAATGCACACTTGCAGCCAGAGAGCTACAACAAATTTATGTTTCTGTTTAATGCCAGTTCGCCCCACGCCACAATTGCACAGGTTGCCAAAGGATAGGAACCTTGCCCGGAGCTCACCGTGAC